ATATATGATATATTGCTCTGATTATCAGTTTTCTGTTGTTATTTTCAAATTTTAGAAATGGGTCTTTTGGCAATTTGTGTGTAACCAACAGTTGGGCCAAAACTTCTGCTGAATGCTCACCATGTGTTTGTAAAGATAGTTTAATCTGTTTCTAAATTCTAATGTTTTCTTTTGAATTTTTGTTCTGTTCTTCTTTTTGTGTTTACTCTCTCTCTCTCTCTCTCATCAATGCCCCATATGTACTTAAATATGATACCCTCTGTTTTCATTTATTGTGATAACCTCTATAATTTTTGTGAAATTTGATTATTTTGCAATTTTTGATAGCCCAAACAATCCAATTAAGTTTTTCTTTTTCTTTTTTTCTTTTTCTTTTTTTTTTTTGGGTTGTAAATTCCAATTTAGAAGTATTTCTAGACTTTACAAATAGAGCAGTGGTTCAAAACTACTTCAGAAAATTTTTATTTTGAAAAACAAGAGATCCCTACTTGCACGGTTCGAGTCACAGACCTTTCTAGAAATTGGTTAAACTTGGATATTAGCAGGAGCCTCCTGCACTAATTCATTCTTTTTAGTAAAAAAGAGATCCCCAAAATGCAATTTACTATTTATTCCTCAAAAATTGGTCTCTCCTTCAATCTGTTTGACAAATTGTGACAACTAAACAAAATTCTTGATCACTGGGTTCTTTATGTTAGATGCATAACTCATGTTCTCATGTTATCAGCAATTGTATCCACCAATTACATACTTATATTATGAAGAAGAAAGTATTAATAAGGATTTCATCTATAGTTCTCATGCTTTCCCCCAATTCTTTCAATCTATATATACTTTCACCAATTTTTTTTTTCTTTTTCTTTTTTTGTTGAGAAAATGTAACAACTGACAAATGTTTTTTTTTTTTTTGTCCTGTTTCTGTACAGTGTAGCTCGTTTTTCTGAGTTTTTGCTATTATAATTCTCACGTTTCCTCCAATTCTTTCAATCTATATATATGGCTCTATATACTTGTTTATTGGCTTCTTGAGAAACTGCAATAATTGACAAATGGGTTTTTCTGTTTCTTTCCAATGGAGCATGTTTTTCTAGTTTTATCCACTATTGTTTTCATGTTTTCCCCCAATTCTCTCAATCTGTGTATGGCTGCATTTTCTCAATGGTTTCTTGAGAAAATGCAACAACTAAAAGACAGGTTTTTCTGTTTCATCCCAATGGAGCTTGTTTTTTGAGTTCTTCACCATGTATCCAATTCACAAAAAGCTGAAAAATGTTGTGCACTGTGTGTATTGGAAGTTGTCAAAAACCAGAAGTCATATAACAACAACAACAATAAAAAAAGAAAAAGAAAAGAGAAATGGAGAACTGCGTGTTCAGGTTCAAGTAATTAAAACATTAACTCCCACATATGCAAACATGCACGTGGCATAAAGCAAGTTTGAAAAACCACGAGTATAAAGTTGTAGTTCAATTAACAACTAAGAAGTACCGACACAGACACACCAACATGACAATTTTTAAAGATTGTAGGACACAACACGTGGGAGACACACACATAATATATAATTTTATATATTTATTATATGTCCTATATATGAATGTATCATTCTAAAACAATAAATAAATGCAATATAATATTAATTTCTATAAATTGACATTATTTTTCTTTTATTATCATATTCTAAGTTATTTTGTTCAAACTTATAATTAGTTTTGTGTGTGTCTAATAGATGGATCCCTGTGTTTAAGCAATGGACACGTGTATCCTCCAAGTATCCGAGTCTAAATTTTAAAAAAAAATATAAGACATGTTTGGACGAGTATCGGACATGTGTTAGGAAGTGCTTGACACGGACACACCACCTTTTTAGAAGTGTTTGTGCTTCTTAGATTAACAATGGAAGAAATCATTGGCGTGCACTTGGAGCTTGAAATTGCATGTTTTCTTCCTGTGCAACTCACGTTTGCTTAACAGAGCCCAAGTTTTCAGTGGATCCCAATCATAGCTCATTCAAACTTCCTGATAGCCAAATCCAGATCATCACCACATTCGTTGAGCACTCTCTGAAAAATTTGAAATCATAGGATTCTGAAAATGATCAGTAACTTGTCCTATTGACTAAAGCAGATGTCTTAGAAATGCTGCACATATTCAAAATTTAAAAAATAAAAAATAAAAATAAAAAGATAAAAAAAGAAAAAGAAAAAGAAAAAAAGATGTATTTGTGTAGTGGGGGCAAAATCTACAATCGATCAAGAAAACAACATATATTCTCAAAAGTAACAATACATAAAATTGAATGTGAATGATTTAAGGTCAGAAAAAACTCCATTTTACTTAATAATTCCCTTCAAAGAGGTAGCGTATACAAAGATTGCAATAATTGAGAACTCTAAATCAATTAATAAATGTCAAATCATCTCTAGAAATGGAACCCTAGGTTGTACAGATACCATGATAAGACACAAACCAATAGACTTCTTCCTTGATTTATTGGTTTTGTATCTACTCACAATCGAAAACTCTACATTCAATGAAGAAAACAACATATATTCTTAAAAGCAACAATATATAAAAGCAAATGTGAATGATTTAAGGTTAGAAAAAACTCCATTCTATGTAATAATTTCTTTCGAAGAGGTAGCACATACGAAGCTTGTAGTAATTGAGAACTCCAAATCAATTTCAACGAAGGAATAATATTGAATAAATGTTGCATCATCTCCATAAATGGAACCCTAGGTCATACAGATACCGTGGTTAGGCACAACAAATAGACTTCTTCCTCGACTTACTGGTTCTGCGTCAACTCACAATCGATTGCACATTTTGAAAATTACTCCAATCTTATTATCTACTTGCTTTCTAAAGAAAAATATTAACTACAATGACAAGGCAATAAATGTGAAACCACCACGTAGCATGTGTCTATACTCATTTGGCTTAAAGTTATGCATTAAAGTTGCAATACAAGTGGCATATGAATATAGAATGGAAGTAAACTTTGTAATGTTTTCATGCATTTCTACCTAATAAGATTTCAACTATTTTGCAAACTAAGCAAGATTTTTGAAATCTATAAACAAAAAGGAAATAAATGATGGGGATAATGCACGTAGTCATTTCTCAAACTTTGTCCATCCAATCCTACTGCATACTAAATTGCTAATGTTGCAAGCTATATCTTGCTTTCAATTTTATTACCCCTTACCAAGTGACACGGCACAGACCGCGGACACACAAATTTTCAAAAAATGCAAGACACGACGTGCTAGAAGTACGTGCAAAACATATAAGTTTGTGTATTTGATATATGTCATATTTTTAAATATATATATATATATATATTTATGTTAAAATTTTAATTTCATCAAATTCGTCAACCTTAGGTAACTCAATCAAAAAAAAAAAAAGGGTATGCTATTTTAGTAAAATAATTAAGAATTTTTATTTTTTTAAATGGTCATCATCGTATCCTTAGCATGTCCCTAGCATGTCTGACTCTCTTTAGCGTGTCAAACACGTGCGCAGAGCGTGTGTGGTGTGTGTCCATGTCTTTCAAGTGTTAGACACCGACTTGTACGTGACCTCAAAGAGGTGTCCATGCTTCATAGAGCAATACACAATTCATTTGGATCTGATTAAGATGCATAGTAGTGGACCAGCTATATGTTAGATGTGATATTTTTTCTAGAAATATGAAGGCCAAATTTGGAATCTTATAAATTGTTTCACATGATATATATTCTCTATGTTCGTGGCCTAAGTTTATTGTCTCACATGATATATTGTTTGTATTGACTTTATGATGAAGCTAAGCCAACTCTTTTTCTTTTCTTCTCTCTTTTATAAGATTAGGAATATAATGGATGATGAAGGTAACTTGGTGAATGAAAATTCATTATTTATTGCCTCTAAAACATTTCAGAGGGAAAGACCATCCATGAAAATTCTTTATGTTAGATGCATAACTAATATTCTTGTATTATCAGCAATTGTATCCACCAATTACATACTTATATTATGGAGAAGAAAATATGAATAGGGATTCCATCTGTAGTTCTCATGCTTTCCCCCAATTCTCTCAATCTATATATACTCTCACTCATTTGTTTTTTTTTGAGAAAATGTAACAACTGACAAATGGGTTTTTTCTGTTTCTTTACAATTTAGGTTGTTTTCTGAGTTTTAGTTATTTTAATTCTCATGCCTCCCTCAATTCTTTCAATCTATATATGGCTGTATATACTCGCTTATTGGTTTCTTGAGAAAATGCAGCGACTGACTAATGGGTTTTTCTGTTTCTTTCCAATGGAGCTTGTTTTTCGAGTTTTCGCTACTATTGTTTTCATGCTTTCCCCTAATTCTTTCAATCTGTATATGGCTGCATTTTCTCATAGGTTTCTTGAGAAAACGTAAAAATTGACAAATTGAGTTTGTCCTGATTCATTCCGATGGAGCTTGTTTTTCAAGCTCTTCGCTTGCCCTCAATTCTTTCAATCTGTATATGGCTGCATTTTCTAATTGGTTTCTTGAGAAAATGTAAGAACTGAGAAATGGGTTTTTTTTGTTTCATCCCAATGGAGTTTGTTTTTGAGTTCTTCACTATGTGGAATAAGCTGAAAAATGTTGTGCACTGTGTGTATTGAAAGTTGTCATAAACGAGAAGACATATAACAATCTGTTTCTTGAATCCAGCTACCGAGACACGATACCTAAACTCCAGTAACCGGGAGATGTGTGCTCCCAACGAACCTCAAAACTCTTCTGATAATCCCAATTCACTGCCACTAGAAAGCAAAACTCCATGCCAACTACTCCAATTCACTTTCCAGGAACTAAAATCAGCAACTGGAAACTTCAGACCAGACAGTATTCTTGGGGAGGGCGGTTTTGGGTACGTCTTCAAAGGATGGATAGAGGAAAATGGGACCGGCCCAGCAAAACCTGGATCAGGGATTACAGTTGCGGTCAAGAGTTTAAAGCCAGATGGTCTCCAGGGCCATAGAGAATGGGTGGTTAGTAGATTATCTGCTTTGGGTTAGTAGATTGACATTAAGACTATTGAGAGTGAGATGCTAAGAAATGGTGTGATTACAAAATAATCAATTGAGTTTTTGTTAAATACAGGCTGAAGTAGACTTTCTTGGGCAGCTTCACCATCCTAATCTTGTTAAACTCATTGGGTACTGCATCGAAGATGATCATAGGCTGCTTGTGTATGAATTCATGACCCGCGGAAGCCTTGAAAACCATCTTTTCAGAAGTGAGTTTAGACATTTTCTTGCTTGCTTGATACTATGCTTTCTGTTTCATGTTGTGCAGAAATGACAGATGCATCTAATATGCTATTTATTTATACATTAGGAATTTAGGATTATGAAATTGTATTAAAACATATGGTAATAATTGGATTTGATATCACACACTGACCTTGGCTTTAGTCAGTGTTAAACATATTGCTACAAGTCTTTTCCTTTTTCTTTTTCTTTTTCTTTTTCTTTTTATATTGAGACTTGAGCAAAAGATGATTGTCAAATGCCCAAACCATTTTATCATTAGCTTTAAGGTTAATCTTATACCAATAAATGCTTTCCCAATATTTTTATGGAAGGTGGATAAATTTATAGAGTTGTGGATTGTGAAGACTGTCGAACATAGTATGTTCACATCAGAGTTCAATGTTTGCTAAAGTAGTGTTTGGTTCATTAGAATAAAGTGAAATGGAATAATTATTCTATTAGAATGTTTATTCTCACATTTGATTCACTAAAAAATTATAGAAAATACATTGCAAATGGAATTATCATTCATCAAGCGAATGGTCATTCAATAAGGAAGCTAAAGAATGAACTATTTTGTTTCATTCCACCTCATTCTAGTGAACCAAACACTACCTAAAAGGTTACGTTTGGTACGCTGGAGTGGGTTGGAATGGAATGCTCATTTCAATTTTGTGTTCCCTTTTTCTTGTGTGGTACGACATAAGCAAATGGAAATAGTTGTTAAGATAAATTACATTTATGATTCTTAAAGTATGTGCTTTGTGTCAATTTTGTACTTTAAATTTTAATTTTGTCCTCAAAAAAAGCTGCTAACTAGCTTGTTCCTGTACACTGTTCCATTAAACAAATGCTGATTTTGCTGAAACTCTTGAAGGGACCATACCTCTCCCTTGGTCCAACAGAATCAAAATTGCACTTGGTGCAGCTAAAGGCTTAGCAATTCTCCATGGAGGCAATGAACCTGTCATATATAGAGATTTCAAGACATCTAACATTTTGCTTGATTCGGTAATGTTGCTAAAGATTCGATCAAATTATTATATCAAGCCTTTTGCTCAACCCAAAACATCATTAAAATGGAATTTTTGTTCACAGGGATATAACGCGAAGCTCTCAGACTTCGGTCTGGCTAAAGCCGGTCCTCAGGGAGACAAAACTCATGTTTCTACAAGGGTTGTTGGGACATATGGATATGCTGCTCCAGAATATGTAATGACAGGTATGAAGTCATACCTCATATCATCCAATTGGAATGCTTGACAACTTAATTCGATTTTTTGTTTAAATACTAAGTTGGTTCCTCGTGTTAGTATGGAAGTTTGAGTTCTACCCAAAGTTTTTAAAGGCAAATGTGTAACACGAGGTGCAAGCCTTGAGGTACAAGCATTTTGAATTTTTATAAAAGTTTGAGATCTAACTAAAGTTTTTAATGGTGAATGTGTAACACGAGACATGAGCCTCAAGGTGTCAAGTCATAAGCATATTTAATTTTGAATTTTTATTTCTTTATTTATTTAAAAAAAGAAAAAATATATTAAAACTTAAATATAAAGGTGTAAATGTTTTTTTGCTGAAGGCATCAGACATTTTGTTGTTGAGAAGGAAGCTTGCCCTCATTGAAAGGGAATCAAAATTCAAAGTTCCAGTTCTTCAAGCTTCTCACTTGAGCATTAGTTTTTGTGTTTTTTCTTAGTTATTTCCTTTATTTGGCTAGTGGAATATAGTTACAAAAGAAGTTTTTTTTTTTTTTTTCAATATTTAAATAATGTATTAGGCTAAGTTTAACAATAGCTTAAGAGACATAATCCCCATATGCATAATCCTTATATGCTTATGTGCAAAATGCATACAAGAGGCGCCCCTCAAACTGTAATGCAGAACCCTTTAGGAAGTGTTATTTAAAAATAAAAACCTCAATAATGCCTATAAAACTTTGGATCTAACAACTCGTAAAATGTTGGATCCTTTCTCTTTCAGGACACTTGACTTCTAAGAGCGATGTTTACAGCTTCGGAGTGGTCCTTCTTGAGATTTTAACAGGCAGGAGATCGATGGACAAGAAACGCCCTAGTGGGGAACAAAATCTTGTTACCTGGGCTCGCCCATATTTAGCTGACAAGCGAAAGGTTTACCAACTTGTGGATCCTCGCTTAGAATTGAATTACTCCATAAAAGGCGTGCAAAAAGTTGCTCAACTAGCTTACAACTGCCTCAACCGGGATCCAAAATCGCGCCCGTCAATGGATGAAGTTGTGAAGGTTCTCACACCATTGCAAGATCTCAATGACCTCGCCATATTATCGTGTCACGCTCGGTTATCTCAACCGGGGAGGCGAAAGAAGAAACTGAATGAAGCTCACCAGCGCAGCCATAGCCAATCAAAAAGCATTCGAGACTCTCCTGTGCATACTAGTAAGCAACATTGTAAATAAAGGCTAAGTCAGTTTTTGCCTTGAAACCTAATATTTGGATGAAATTTCAATGGAAATGGATTGTGTGGTGCCAATAGTTCAAGTTTTTGTTATAATTTTTTGGGTGTTTGAAATTATACAGAGCCAAGGGACAATGTAAGAGAATCATTTTTTTTTCTTTCAATATTTTTTCAGTAGAACTGAGATATAACCATTGGTGTGGAAGGTTGCAACTTCCCAAATGCCACTTGCTTTTGCTTTTTCTGTTTTTTGTTTTTAACTGTCACACAAGTTATTAGGCTCTATTCGACAAAAACATTTTTTCTCAACTTTTTCTGTTTTTAGTGAAAAATTCTCTTTTTTAAAATTTATTTTTACGTCCTTTAAGTCTTAAAGGATTTAAACAGTAGAAATTTTGGGGAAAAAAATACTAAAACCAAAAACAAATTTTTTTTTTTGCTTTTTGGTTTTTGTCTTTTTGTCAATTGTTTAAAAATATTTTTTTATTTAAAATTATAGTATTATAGTCTAGTAGGACTTAAAAGGTGAAAAGTTTTTTAGAATAAATGTAAGGGAAATTGACCAGTAAATTTCGTTTTGTAGATTTGTAACCTATAAGATTCTAAATGTTTTTTTTGGTAACTGAGTGATTCCTTAAATTATTTGTTGATTGCTTTGCCATTGTTAGTACAGCTAGGGAACACATGGCATGGTTTTGTATGAAGAAGGTGGTGGGGTGTTTATGTGTCACGTTGCTTGAAAAGCGCACTAGTAGCTTTTTAAAGTTAGGTTGTTTTTAACACATGTAATGTGGAACGTGAATTCCTTACTAATTATTTTTTGATGCGTGACGTGAAGACACACAGTAATTCAATCAAATTGGGTCTGCCATGTTGAAGTGTTACATGTCACGTTTAGAAAAAGTATGCCAAAGAGTTTTTAATTTTTTTAGAGTGTCACAACATACTCGCCACATTGTCACATTTGAAAAAATATATTAAGGAGTTTTATTTTTTTGGAGTGTCACATTATATGTACCACGTTGTCACATTTGGAAAAAGTATATTAAGGATGAGTAAAAATTTTGGAGTGTCACATCATACTTGCCACGTCATATTTGAGAAAAATACACTAAGGAGTTTTTAATTTTTTTGGAGTGTCCCATCGTTAGAGTATCTCATTAATAGCTACCACATTGGAGTATTACACCATACCTATCACACATTCTAAAAAAAAAAAAACCAAACTTCCCCAATTAACTAATTAACTAGAGAGAATATATCTGTCTAACCAATACCCATCCACATTTAAAAAAGGATTTATTGGTCACACATTACACCTAATAAGGGCTCCTCAATTAACCATTTAAAATGTGCGACCAAATGGTATAGAAGTTCCAAAAAATAAGATTTTCCAATAAATTTTTAAAAATTCTTTTAAGAAAGAAAAAATTAACAAAACAACAACCCCTAAATTATTTTAATTATTTCTATGGAATCTGCCACGCTACCAAAATTGCCAAGTTGACAGTTGAAACTCAGCAAAAAAATGTAATTTCAAAATGTAACTTAAAAAAGGTTTTATATTTTGTTAAATAATTTCAAATTTATAATATTTTCATAAATACAGTATTTATTTAAAATAGAATATTCAGCCCCCAAAAAAAACTCCTCTTACCGACATAATGAGTCCAGGGCAAATCCAAGAGGATGGACAAACTTATACGGAGACAGTTCAAATTAGGTGGGCACGTATCCACTCAATCCACCAAAATTGAATGGTCTGAATTTGTTACAAAATAGATGGTTTTAATACTCCGAGGGTATGTTTGATTGGAAGGATTAAAGCATGGGATTAGGATTATTAATCCGTGGGCCCAATCATCATATGTTTGTTTTGACATTTTGATTTAGGACTATTAATCCAATGGATAATTAATCCAACAAATTTGTAGGATTATTAGTAATGGGGTAGGGGTAGGATAGTTAATACCACACTAATTTAATAGGATTATTAATACCTCACTATTAGTATTGTGAATCAAACATGACCCGAGTGGACTAACGTAGATATATATTTTTTCAATCTGCCTAAGTTTGAATTGATGATGGATGAAAGGCCATTCGATCTAACTCAATCCGCCAATACTCCTAAAAAAATAAAATTATGCTTTTGTGCTTTATGTTTTTAAAAATAACTTTTATTTAGTAATTGTATTTGCTATTTACGAAATATAAAAGTTGTACCTTTATTTTTATTATAAAAATGAACAATAAATAATTTTGGACTCAAAATAGTAAAACCCAAACTGTCAAACCAATTTGAGTCCACCCTTCAATTTGTACAGCTTACTCAATTCGCATTCACTAATTAAGCGGATGGATGCAGATTGATTTTTTTCAATCCACTTACTTTCGAACCGATGTTGGATGAGAGACCACAAGACCCAACCCAATTTGCAAGCATCCTTAGTTACTTTCGAACCGATGTTGGATGAGAGACCACAAGACCCAACCCAATTTGCAAGCATCCTTAGTTCGAATATCTATCAAAATATTTAGTTTGATTGAGTTTTTTGAACATGTTTTTTGATTTTTTTTTTTTATAAAAAAATTAATAACTAATTTGACAAAAATGAACACTAAAATCAATTTACTCCAAAAAAAGAGAAAATCATATGATAATAATGAGTTTTTTTTTCTATAAAATTAATTTTTGAATTTTTTTCAAAAAACATATTTAAAAACACAACCAAATAGACTAGCTTAGCTTGTTGAATCAGTTCTGGGAAAATTAACGGCAAAGTGAGATACCTAGTAATATATTCTCAGAAATTAACGCTATGTTTGGTTTCATTTTCTGATTTTTTTTTAAATAAAAATTAATTTGATAAAAATAAATACTATTTTTTTTTTGAATTTTAAAAATCAAAACCTTTTAAAATCTTTGCTATTTTTTAAATTTAAAAAGGTGAATTACACTAATAGTCCCTATAGTTTGAGGTTTGTGTAACTTTGGTCCCTGACTTTTCAATTGTGACACATTTGACCCTGAATTTTGAATCTTGTTCCAAATAAAGACAATTAAAGATATTATTAGATTTTTCAAGAGTAAAATCATCAATTTGATAAAATATAAACTAATTTGACAAAAATAAATGTCAAACAAATATTTTTGAATTTTTAAAAATTATTTCTACGCACTAAAAATAAAATTATGTAAAATTGATAAATCTTTTAGACATCTATTTATTTTTTTACCAAATTAATTTTTATTATATGTTTAGATGATGATCATGTAAAATTAATTTTTAAAAATTAATCATATAATTTTTATTAATTTTTATCAAATTTACATAATTTTATCATTGGTGGATAAAAATAATTTTTAAAAAATTAAAAATATTTGTTTGACATTTATTTTTGTCAAATTAGTTTATATTTTATTAAATTGACGATTTTGTCCTTGAAATTAAACAATGGTATCTTCAATTGTTCTTATTTGGAACAAGATTCAAAATTCAGGATCAAATGTGTCACAATTGAAAAGTCAATAACCAAAATGACATGAGTCTCAAACTATAAAGACTGTTAGTGTAATTTACCCAATTTAGAACTAACAAGAATCTTTTAATCCAAACCCATTCAATTCTCATATTAGAGTCAATTATCAAAATAATATAACAAGCACACAAGGATAAGAGAAACCAATTTTAATGCGAAAAGTCCAAAATAAAAAAGAAGAAGAAAATTCACAACCCACTATTAAAGATCAAGTACTACGCGTTGTTTGGGAATGAAAAAATAAAATAAAATAAATAAGTTAATAAGATAAAATGTTATGTTTAAATTATAATTTTTTTTATACAAAAGTCAAAAAATTTAAAAATACTAAACCAAACAAACTTTTAATCCTAAACTAAAATAACTAAAAAATCAAAAAAATAGACTTAAAAAACCAATTGCCAAACGGTAACTTACAAGATTATGATGCAAATATCTTATTTCATTCAAGTTACATGAGCATCCCAATATCTTCATTCACATCCACTAATCTTTAACGCTGTGTTTGGTTAAGAGATTTTGAAAGAGATTTGAAATGAAAAAGAGAAAAGAATATAGGCATGTTTTATTCACATTTCACTTACCTTTTTCATTTCTCTTTCCAAATCCCTCCTCAAATCTCCCAACCAAACAGAGCATAAGTGTATTCCTCCAATCTTTATCGACAAATCATAAACTCAATCAAACGAACCCAGAACATGATCTAAATCTATATAAATGCAAATTCCATTCTCAGATAGTTTTAGCAACCCACAAACATCAAGCATGATCATTTAACCTCTCCAAGATGAATATGAACTATATAGTTCTCTAAGATTTCCCAAGACTTGGAATGTGTATATATATTTGTGAATAATCTCAAACAACAAAGCCTAATAAGAGAAAACTAAAATGAACATGGAAATTAAAATAGTTAAGAATGTTATAAAACACATTGATGCGTTTGAGCTTGCAACACACTGCGCGTTCGAACCAATGCTTCACTATAAAGATTTATTGAAAAACATTTTCTAGTGTTCGAATAGTACGTATTGCATATGAAGGCATTTTGTTTTCTTTTTTGAAAAGAAAAAAAAATTCTAAAAAATACAGGTGCAAAGCCGAATTACAAAGTTTATAGGTTCCAAAATGTCAAGCTCCATTAAATAATTTAGTTTATAGTCAACAATTAAATCATCTGTGGTCATGAACTCAAAATTAACCCAACCCAAAAACCTAACAAAATTGTGTATTTTGAGGAATTGAGTCCCAAAAAAAAAAATTTAAAAAAAACTCGTTTGATGGAATAAGAATAATAGTATGAATGAGTATAATACAATTCAAGATATTTCTTATGTGCAACATATATATCATGTAACATATTTATGTATGAGTCATGAGTGTATGTATGTCTGCAACATATATGCACACAACTATAGAATTCATGTAGGTGGGTGACAAGCTCTGGCAGAGCCAGGAATTTAGTGAAGAGGGGACAGAAATTAATAACAATATTGATTTTGTTTTTTTTCCTCATAATAAATAATAATGAGATATTACTAAACGTAAATATTAAATATTAATAAATGTGAATTTTAAATTAAAGGATTTGAGGTTAAATTTTATACAAATATTGTGG